TTGAGTGAGTGCAGGAGTCAGCAAGTAAGGTGTGAGCGAAGAATGAGTGTAGGAGTAAGTGAATGAAGTGATTACAGAAGGAATGAATAAAGGAGTTAGTGAAGGTGAGGGAAGAAAGGAGTGAGTGAAGGAATGAGTTTAGAAGTAAGTAAATGAAGAGATTACTGAAGCAATGAGTACAGGAGATAGTGAAATGTGGAGTGAAATATTGAGTGAAGGGAGGAGGGAAGAAGTGAATGAAGGACTGAATGAGGGAGTGGATTGTAAACTAAGGGATAAGGGACTGACTGACTGACTGACTGAGTTTGGTTTTACGCCGCTTTTAGCAATATTCCAGCAATATCACGGCGGGGGACACCAGAAATGGGCTTCACTCATTGTACCCATGTGGGGATTCGAACCCGGGTCTTCGGCGTGACGAGCCAACGCTTTAACAACTAGACTACCCCACCGCCCCAAGGGATAAGGGAAGGAGTGAAGGAATGAAAGAGTGAGTGAAGGAATTAGCAGAGGTTAGTGAGACAAGTTATTACTTAAGAAGTGAAAGAAGAAATGAATGAAGGGTTGAGGGAGAAAGAAAGCAGAAAAAAAAGACAAAAAAGTGTAGGGCTGGGACGATACACTAAGTGACGATACGATACGCATCGCGATATTTTACCTGCGATACGATATGTATCACGATATATACACCTTGAAAGAATGACAGTATTAAGATTTAAAATGATATATTGCAAGGTATTTGTGTATAATAATAACACTATTGTAATAAACAAACAAGTAACTCCATCATACTTGCGTATTTTTCTCTACATAAGTACTGTAACATGTATAAGATAATACTGTTTTGAAAAAAAAAGTTGTGGATCGTTTTGTATCGATACACCAGTGGACGATACGATACCTGTATCAAACTAGAATGTATCGTGATGTATCGGTGTATCGGTGCATCGGTGAATTGTCCCAGCCCTAAGAAAGTGTATAAGTACATATATGTCCAGGTGGGGAAATGGCAGATGGGGTAATGACCTGGGCCCCGTTTCACAAAGCTCTCATAAGCCTAAGATCTCGTAACTTTTCTCGTAGCATTTGTAATGAGTTGAGTTGAGTTGAGTTGGGTTTTGCATCACATCGGCATTATTCCAGCCATATAGTGACGAGAACAAGGTTGCATTAATAAACATTGTAAGTACATTATCGGAATGAGTTTTATTTCAGAAACATATATTCATTACATTGTCATTTAAAAGCAGAAAAAGTCATAGCACCACATTTAAAGGCAGGCAAGTTGTTATTTACATTTCACAGTTACAATTTATGATAGTTACATTTGACAGTTACAATTTATGATACAGATCAACTTCCCTCAGGTAGTTCACTATGAGATGAGCGCTCACGTGGGAGAACAGATCTTTCAGATTTGTACCTCCCACACTGTAGCGCTACGAGAGCTTTGTGAAACGGGGCCCTGTTGGGGAAAAGGCCTCGTAGGGAATTGCCCTACACCCTATGCACACACATGCACACATATGCACACACACATGCACATACTACCTGTGCCCAAATCAGCATCTATCAACACAACCTCCTCAACATGGAACCAGCACAGAATCTGACACCAAACAAGCCCAACAATGCAATTTACTGTCAATGAATTAATAATAGAAATGTTTTCTCTCGTCACATGCATCCTTGGGCCCTTTGTTCATGCAAGGTTGCTGATTTCCTTCTTCCTTGCTCAACAGTTCAAGGTATTGATTCCGGAATTCTTTGCAAGTGGTCCGGAACCGATGTGCAAGGATCATTGGTAGCTCCATCAAATATAATTGTCATTTAAACACAACTTAGTAAGAGGTGAGGTGAGGTGAAATTAGGTTTTACATCGTGCTTGAGATTATTTCGCTCATATGACGACGTGCATGCATGTGTATGTGTATGTGCGGCTGCTTGTACTAGCCCAGACTGAAGCTGGTTTTATAGTGCTAGCCCACTGAGATACCATGCCACAGTGAAGCATGAATACCCCACTCAGACACATTATACTGACTCCGAGCCGACCAGTCCTTGTTGTACCCATTAATGCCGAGAGCCAGGCAGGGACCAACAAGTACCATATTTTAACGTCTTTTTGGTATGACGCAGTCGGGGATCGAACCCGTGACCTTCCGCTTTCCGGGCGGACGCTCTAACCACTACAACATGGAGGCGGTCCAACTTAGTAAGAGCTTAGTGAGTGAGTGAATGAGTGAATGAGTGAGCAAGCGAGCAAGTGATCATACTGCTTTAAGTAAAACCTTAGTCTAGGGGTAATCCCCTGATTGGAAACAGGTTTTGGAACTGTGGAATTGGCTTGTTTATACAACTCAAAATAGGTAAGGGAACACCTGTATTTTTTTCATATGATAATGGTTATTAATCTGTCTTGGGTGGTGGGAATTGCAAGACAGTCTTCCACTTGTGTGTGTCCATTGACCTGAGCAGTACATGGCCAATCTGGTGACCGCAGACATGAGTGAGTCAGTTGGGTTTTATGCCGCTTTTAGCAATATTCCAGCATTATCACGACCTGGGACACCTGAAATGGGTTTCACACATTGTGCCCATGTGGGGATTCGAACCCGGTCTTCGATGTGATGAGCAAACACCTTACCCACTAGACTACCCCACCGCCCACTTAGTCAGAGACAATTGGTAACAACTCTTTGATTTACAATAGCCTTCGCAATAAGCTTTTACTTCCACGTGTGTAGAGCGGACAAAACAAAACATGTCTATTATAAATATGCAGGATTTTATTTCGAAAACAGGGCCCTAAGTCATCTAAGGTGTGACAATTCACAGTGTAGAGTTGTCACCCTTGGGCACACCAGAATCCTGTGTAGATTCAATGCTGGAAAAACCCTATTTATGATTCTAGGCTTGTCAGTGCTATTATCTGGTTCACAGCTGTCACCAAAGTGATGAATGTCTGAGGCCTGCATCACACACAGCTTACCTCACACTTTAAGCTGACACATTGTTACGCAAGTGGTATACTGATCAAAGCGGGGTCAAACCCAACCCACTGATTGTCATAACACGTATATGTCAGGGTAGAGATTGCGATCTGGTAGGATCGGAGATTCTACCAGTCGAGATTGCGATCGGAGTCTCTTCCAGTAGAGATTGCGATCGGAGTTTCTACTGGTAGAATCTCTGATCCTACTAGAGATTGCAATCGGACTCTCTACCAGTAGAGACTCTCATTATATAGAATAACCTATACAATCGCAATCTCTACCAGTAGAAGCTTAAATCTCATCCTACTAGTAGAGATTGCAATCTAAGTGAATATTTAGAAAAATAAAATATATTTTCGTATATTGTAGAATGACAACTTCCATTGAAAAGTGCACACTGTTTGTCCAACTTGATGTTTACAAACAAAATGAAAATAAAACATTGTTACTTTGTTTTCATTTATGATTGTTATTGTAAATAAATGTAATGCTAAAATTCGAAAAAAAAAAAAATTCAATGCACTTCATTTCTGAGTGCTAATGTCAGCTATGTCCATCGATAAATGACATTAGCAACATTTAGGTCCATCATAAATGTGACATTATTTGTTATCAATAATCACTGATGTGTGCATTTTCAATGGAAGATATCAAATATAAACATAAAACAATATGCACTCTATAACTATAAGCTCCAATGCTCTAATCAAATGCTAATCGAGGAAAGACGAAAGATTATGCCCTTTTTTGCATTGTACCCATTATTGAGTCGGAATATCACTTCTGCATAGAATGTAATTTTTATAATAATCTTCGTCAGGCCCTGCTCCCAAAGTATTATTACACTTCTTCATCTCTCCATAAATTTGTACAATTGTTGTCATCTTTGTTGTTTGCCCACAGATCAGTCAGACTTTCTACCATTTGAATTGGAAATGGTACTGGTAGAATCTCCGATTGTACCAGTAGAGACTTTGATTGCAATCTGTACTAGTAGGATCGGAGATTCTACCAGTAGAGACACCGATTGCAATTTTTACTGGTAGAGACTCTGATCGCAATCTCTACTGGGAGAATCTCCGATTCTACCAGATCACAATCTCTACCCTGACATATATATCTACATAACAGCATTAAACCAACTTTAAGTGAGTGAGTGAGTGAGAATGAGTGTATGGTTTTACACCGCTTTTACCAATATTCCAGCAATATCACGGCTGGGGACACCAGAAATGGGCTTCATACTTTGAACCAATATGGGGAATTAAACCCAGGTCTTTGGCGTGACGAGCAAACGCTTTAACCACTAGGCTACACCATCGCCCACCAACTTAAAGGCTTGACATAAAAGATGGTAGAATGTTTACATCTTGTGTTGTTCTCAACATAAGTAATCTATACCAGAACATGGAACCTGAACGTGATGAACAACAACAGCCGATGAGTTCTCCTGTTCTTCTTTAAAAACAATAGGTTGTCAACACACTCTGACTTCAAGGCAGATCGCCAAGCTGTTACAAGATGAACCAGATCACCCAGAGCATAAATACTAGAAGCCACTCTTGAAACAATTTTTGAGTGCTTTTGGGGGTTTTCTACACAAATTACGTTGTGCCATGTTTTAATGCCATTTATTCAGTTTCTAACCATGTCAATATTGTTACATTTACAGATGTAAATAACATTCACTGATTTTCCCACAGGATACAATACATCTGTTTGAATCATATCTGCTAATTCACTTGTAACATGTACATTTCTATCATGTTTATTCTGACAATAAACACAAATAAAGGTATAGTCTTCTTCCAAACCCTATTCATGACCCAAGCATGTGTCCCATCCTTCATGACCCTCCTCTCTACATGGCCCAAGCATGTGTCCCATCCCTCACAACCCTCCTCCCTACATGGCCCAAGCATGTCCCATCCGTCACAACCCTCTTCCCTACATGGCCCAAGCATGTTCCTTCCCTCATGATCCTCCTCCCTACATGGCCCAAGCATGACCCTCCTCCCTACATGGCCCAAGCATGTCCATTATCCTCCTCCCTACAAGGCCCAAGCATGTACCATCCCTCATGACCCTCCTCCCTACATGGCCCAAGCATGTACCATCCCTCATGACCCTCCTCCCTACATGGCCCAAGCATGTCCCATCCCTCACAACCCTCTTCCCTACATGGCCCAAGGATGTCCCAACAATCATGACCCTCCTCCCTACATGGCCCAAGCATGTTCCTTCCTTCATGACCCTCCTCCCTACATGACCCAAGCATGTTCCTTCCCTCATGACCCTCCTCCCTACATGACCCAAGCATGTCCCATCAATCATGACCCTCCTCCCTACATGGCCCAAGCATGTCCCATCCCCCATCCCTCATGGCCCAAGCACCCTCCTCCTCACTACATGGCCCAAGCATGTTCCATCCCTCACAACCCCTCCTCCTACATGGCCCAAGCATGTCCCATCCCTCGTGACCCTCCTCCCTACATGGCCCAAGCCACCCTCCTCCCTACATCCTCCCCTACATCATGGCCCAAGCATGTCCCATCCCTCATGACCCTCCTCCCTACATGGCCCAAGCATGTCCCTCACAACCCTCCATCCCTCATGGCCCAAGCATACCCATCCCTCATGACCCTCCTCCCTACATGGCCCAAGCATGTCCCATCCCTCATGACCCTCCCTCCTCCCTACATGACCCAAGCATGTCCCCTACATGACCCTGGCCCAAGCATGTTCCTTCCCTCATTACCCTCCTCCCTACATGGCCCAAGCATGTCCCATCCCTCCTCACAACCCTCCTCCCTACATGGCCCAAGCATGTTCCATCCATCATGACCCTCCTCCCCATGTCCCAAGCATGTCCCAAGCATCAATCATCCCATCCCTACATGACCATGTCCCTCCCTACCCTCCTCCATGGCCCAAGGATGTCCCATCAATCATGACCCTCCTCCCTACATGGCCCAAGCATGTTCCATCCTTCCCTCATGACAGTTACTTGTGTGACCCATGTTATGTTGTTATTGTTATGTTTACACACACAATACCAACATATGAAAAACTAAAGCTCCAATTACATTAACATTTACTCTCACATCAATCAGACAAACAACTATGTACACATGTTGCAACATTTGATATACATTTGTGATGCATTAGCACCTCGCAAGTTTAGTTTCAATTTCATCAAACACTATGCCATGCATACCAGATCAATATACCTTTCAAGTCCCGATCAATCAGCTGACCAAATACCCAATCAATACATCAATACGTCATCAGTATGGCTGAAATAACACAGACAGCCACAAACAGCTGTACAGGAAATCTAATCTAACTTACTCTTATCTAGAAGCTTAACCTACTTCGAACATCAATATAATATATTCTACCAAATTTTATATAACACTGAGGTCAACACAACTCAGCAACAAGTAGGTCATTTATGAACAACCGTGAAGATCCGGGTTAGAATTGATCTTCAGTAACCCATGCTTGTCGTAGGTGGCGAATAACGGGATCGGGTGGTCAGGCTCACTGACTTGGTTGACACATATCATTGTATCCTAATTGACACTCATGAAATCGATGCTCATGTTGTTGATCACTGGATTGTCTGATCCAGACTTGATTATTTACAGACCACTGCCATATAGCTGTAACATTGCTGAGTGCGGCATTAAACAACAAACCAATCAACCAACTTTATGAAGAGTAGATCTGAAAACACAAAAGGACACACAATAACTCATCACACTATTTATACACTGAATTTCCTTCTATAAAACAAGTCACAGTCCAATGACTTTGAGTGTGGTTCCTTCAAAGGAAATGACAGAGGAAGAATGAGTAATAAAGGCAAATGTGATTGACTCATTCGGACATCCTAGTTTAGAGGTAGCTTTTAGCAGCAATATCAACGGGGGACACCAAGCCTCAAAGATACAGGAAACACATCACTTTGATTGAAGTCATTCAGTAACATTTTTGTCTGCCTTGCAACACAAACAATACATTCATTACTGAGCTACAAACCTGATTAACCAGAATTAAACCATTATCATGACATCACACTGTTCTTGTGGCCACTTGATTCTGAACCAGCAATTTACTGGCTATTCCGAACATTCTTTTTATAAACAAGCAGAACTGATGCAACCAAAGGTCATTACTCAAAACTATACTGAAAGTTTGTTTCAAAAATAACGATGTTGGAAAAATCACTCAAAAACCACTTAATCTGAAAATAAAATTTACATACTCTCATGATGTTTCCTTAAGACAAAGTTCAATAATATAATCCCGCTCCTTTTAGAAATATTCCAATAATATAATGCCTTCCCCATTGTATTTTAGGTGAAATTGGGTTTTATTCTTGACACTGACCGAAGGGAGCAAGATATTGACTTCAACCATTGTATCTATGAGGGGAATTGAACATAGGTCTGTAGTGTGATGAGGAAATGCTTTAACCACTAGGCTTCTACCATCATCCCTTCTAAGTAAAACTGACATATCTACAGCTGTTAATACAAAGTATGGGTCATTATGCTAAATAATACAGGAAATATGTTTCAACTGTCACACTGTTTCAGTTGGAGAAATCACTCAAATATGTTGATTCCAGATATAGAATCAACAGATTCTCATGATTTTTCCATTTTAGAGGTGAGGTGAAATTGGGTTTTTAACGTCATGCTTGAGAATATTTCGCTCATATGACGACGTGCATGCGTGTGTATGTGTATATGCGGCTGCTTGTACTAGCCCAGACTTAAGCTGGTTTTATAGTGCTAGCTCACTGAGATACCATGCCGCAGTGAAGCATGAATACCCCACTCAGACATAGTATACTGACTCCGAGCCGACCAGTCCTTGTTGTACCCATTAATGCCGAGAGCCAGGCAGGGACCAACAAGTACCATATTTTAACGTCTTTTGGTATGACGCGGTCGGGGATCGAACCGCGACCTTCCGCTTCTCTGGGCGGACGCTCTAACCACTACACCACGGAGGCGGACCACTCTAACCACTCCATTTTAGACTTACGGACTGGACTGAGTTTCTTTCCATTTTAGCAATATTCCAGCAACATCACGGGCGGGGGACACCAGAAATGGGCTTCACACATTGTACCCATGTGGGGTCGAACCGGTCTTCGCGTGGCGAGCCAACGCTTAACCACTAGGCTACCCCATTTCCATTAGAATATCCATGGGAACGAGTATAGTTGTACACAGTATTTATCAGTATTTCAGAAAAATCATAGTCGGGGACACCAGAAATTGGTTTCACACATACTACCCACAGGGAATCAAACCCGGGTATTTGGCAAATGAGGAAATGCTTTAAGCACTGGCCACCCAGAAGAGCTTTGGACAAGTAAAACTGGTGCAACCATAGGTCATTACGTAAAATTATAGAGAAAATAAATATCACCAATAACCATGGCAACAGGGATTCAAAGGTCACTGATTTATGGCTTCGATACCCAATAACAAAGGCAACAATCCTGGCCAGTTGTAGGAGATCAGTGCCCCTTTAAGTCAGAGGAACAATGAGCCCCAAAATCTACTTCTAAATTACATAACTAACACTGCTGTGATACCCAGAGACCACTTGGAACACTGATATTGCTTCACAATGTTCACTAATCATTGCCAAACTGAAAAACCCAGAGGCAATAATATATCTCCCCAACCTAAACAAACAATGTTCCTAATCGCGATTCTATTAACGAGATCGAAAAAGATCCCACGAGAATCTTACCAAACAGGATGAAATATTAGAAAGACAGAGTGGTATTCAATGTCATGACACATGTTGGCCCCAGTAGCTTTGAGCAATGATGCAACGACTGACACACATTTTGCTTTAGCTTTCCTACCTCCATCTATAAAACATGTCCCGACTCAACTCTCACGGGGTTTGCTTTTGGTTTGGTTTGTTGTTTAACGCGGCAATATTACAGCAATAAGGTGGCAGTCTGTAAACAATTGAGTCTGACCAGACAATTCAGTGATCAACAGCATGAGCATCGATCTACGCAACTGGGATACGATGACATGTATCAGCAAGTCACAATCCCAGTAGTTGTCTCTTACAACAAGCATCACGGCCTGGGTTGATTATAGTTTTTAGATTTTCCTATTCAGGTTGTAGTTGCAGATAAGTATAAAGAAAAAACATTTGGTTCTCTGTTGCAGTTTTTTTAAACTGCACAAATTACATTTGCAAATTTCACATCCAGTGTAAAATGATTCAGTTCCAGTGTAACATAAACTTCCCAGATTCTTCAAGAAATATTCAGTCATGACTTTTCAGAAAGTGAAGTGTGTTTTCTTAGAAATAGACACGTTTTTAGGCCCTGACAACGTCCTAGATATGTTCTATCATCAAGTATTTCAAACTCTGTTACAGCGGTTCCAAAATCGTTTGTGTTCGATTATGAGAAAACGTGATCGATTGCTTGGTCGCTTGGCCACTGCGACCAATCTTCGATTATTTCAATTAATCGGAGGAACAAACTGAAGCTATATTATTTATTTTGAAAGATGGAAGAAAAAGACAGTAATTTGAATTTTTATTGCTGCAATATTAAAACAGTTTATTTTCATAAACATTTCGGTTTAATCTTCTAGTCTAACGGAGTCGGCATCATCATATTGAAAACATTAGCTTAGCTGTTAGAAATTGCGACACTGTTGTATCATATCTTATCATATCGTGTATCTTACATGGCAATGCAGGTGTCTCATTTATCTCTCCAACAAAGGTTTTCTCAGTTGACTTCTGTTGTACATATGCTATTATTGGGAGGGTCTTTTCTATCAATAAACACAATCAGACCTCTCAATGACAAAGCTGTTTTTATATTTGATAGTAATTGATAGTAAAATCAATTTGAGAAGACAAATCATTTATCATTTAATCACAACAAAGTTCTATTTACCCACAATCAAACTTCTCAGTAAGGAACTTGTTTCAGGCTCAACCCGCTCTACTCACTAGAATAATTAATCGGACCACCACCAGTTGATGAAGAACAATTATAACCCGTATCTTCATGGTAACTCTCAGGGGCTATTCATCATGATCATAAAACGATAAATCAGTACTGCATAAAACAAAACACTGCCCTGAAAATATTGCATCAAGATTCCTATATTAGAAAAGGATTTAAAAAGCCAGAACAAACAGACAGGTCACAAGGATTTTTTGTTTGTATGTTTGCAAGTTTGTTTGTACGTTTGCTTGCTTCTTCTTTGTTTTAAATGCCACACAAGGCATAATCCAGCAAAATTCATCAATCCAGTGATTCATATTTTGAGCAATTATCCATTCCGTTGTGGTACAGTGAGATCCTTTCAGCTTCATCATTAGACCTGACGTCCGATCCATTTGGTCTCCTCTTGCAACAAGCAGATATTGACTGGGTACCTGTTGAAGCCCTGAATACCCAAGGATCAGAGGTATTGAAAGCAATAGTTGGGTCTTAAGTCCTGTTAAGTAATCCTCTGGCAATATCACAACTGTGGACATAATGAGAGGTCTTTCCATACTGTCCCCAACTTGGGTATCAAACCAGGCATGATGGCCTAATGCTAAACTAATGCTAAGTCTCTCAATATCAGCGTTTAAAATTCTCGCCTGTCCGACCGTCCGGAACGGTCTATTTTCATCTCAGACGGTCAAATTTCATAAGTAGCCTGTCCGGTGGTCTGGTAGATGTTTTTACCCCTAACAGTAAATGTTTCATAATATCACACAGGTTCTCTTGTCAGTTTGAGGTGTTTAAGGTATTATGATAATTATGTTCAACTATTTACAATTGG